GAGAAAACCACGAGAGAGATTTAATCATCATCTGGGACATGTTGCCATAGGCAAGCCCAATGCAAAATGCTGTGCATATGTTCAGTAAAGCAGTATCTCCTCTTCTTTTTCTCTTCCCCCACCTCAAAACACCCACCCTTTGCAGCATATAAGACCCTGGTGGGCTTGTGCAGTATAAGTTTGTGCCTAATTACATTAAAGAAATACACTGTTACTGCTTCCTTCCTTCTACCTTTCCTGAGGTCCCTCACTTGATTCCCTGGCCTCTTTGACCCTGGTTCATTATCGAACACACATATGAACATCCTTCTAGTAAACCTGGCTTTCACCTGGCTTTCAATTGCTGTTAAGGTATTTCCTTCTGAGGACTTCATATATGGCTCCTCCCAGGGAGACTGCATTTCCTTCATAGATAATATATCTATCCATGGTCCTGGTCCAAAAACCTCAGACGGGAAACCTTCTCCAGAAGTGTAGATTTTGAAAGTAAGAATTTTGTAAGATTGTGTGACATTCATAACATCCTCCTGTTTGTTATTTATATCATCTCCTGACACTTTCTCTGGAGCAATTGACAGTATAACCGTTAAGCCACGAGGAGACTTGGCTCTTGCAGCAGAGCTGTGAGAAAGAATAATGACTCTCTCTCGCAAAGGCAGCCTTCTTAAGAGAAGACCAACTCAGGGGCACAGAGGAGCAGCAAGATGAAAGGGAAAGCTGCTATTACACGGAGGAGGAGAACTAAACAGTTAGTAAACCTATGAAAGGAAGGTTGGTTTCTCCAGCAATCAGAGTAATCCAAGAAATGCAAGGCAATAAAAATTAGAATCACAGGGGTGCCTGGGTGGCTCAGTCGGTTAAGCGTCTGCCTTTGGCTCAGGTCATGATCCCAGGGTCCTGGGATGGAGCCCCACATCGGGCTCCTGGCTCAGCGGGGAGCCTACTTCTCCCTCTGCCTCTCTCCCTGCTCATGCTCTCTCTCTCTGTCTATCTCTGTGTCTCAAATGAATAAATAAAATCTTTAAAAAAAATTAGAACCACATGACACTGTTTCGAAATATTATCCAAGATCCTGTTAGAAAAAGAAAGAAGTCTGATCACACCAATATTTGGTGAGGATATGAAGCAATACACTAGTAGTGAGAGGGTCAATTGCCAAACCAGTCTGGAGAACAATCTGGCAATATCTAAGAAAGTTGGAGATATGCAAACACTTACACCTGGCAACCCCACTCCTAGATCTACACTGTGCAGAACCTTTTGCAGAGTATGCATGAGACAAAGGGACAGAAGATTCCTTGGTACACTGTTTGCAATAGTAAACTATCAGAACTATTCTAATTATTCATCAAAAGGGGAGTGAATTAATAAACTGTTGTGAATTCATGGAATACTACACAGCGCTGAACACAGGCAAGCTAGCGTTTCGCCACTGTTGAATGAGGATGGGGGCTGCAGGAGACGAGGCACAGCACATGACCACTTACACAAATTTAAAAACCTGCAAAGCTGGACTGTGTGCCCTTTGTGGGTGTATCCACATTGCATTAATAGTATAGAATTTTACATGAAAATTATAAAGCCAAGGGGCGCCTGGGTGGCTCAGTTGGTTAAGCGACTGCCTTCAGCTCAGGTCATGCATGATCCCAGGGTCCTGGGATCAAGCCCCGCATCAGGCTCCCTGCTCGGCCGGAAGCCTGCTTCTCCCTCTCCCACTCCCCCTGCTTGTGTTCCCTCTCACGCTGTTTCTCTCTCTCTCTGTCAATTAAATAAAAAAAAAAAAAAGAAAGAAAAAATTCTAAAGCCAAGTTCAAGGTAGTTCCTGCTTCCCTGGGGGAAAGAAGCAAACAGGATTTCGAAGTGATGCACAGGGAACTACACATGGATTTGTCATGTTTTACTTTTCAAGCAGTGTGGTGGCATATGGGTCTTCAAGTTCTCGAAAACGTTTTGTATGCCTGAAAATTTCATGAACACTTTCTTAAAAAGAGAGACAAGCAGTGAAGCAAAGGAGATTCGCAAGGGGAGAAGTCCTGAGGGCTTGACAGCAGGAAGGTCAATGGCATGGGCAGGAGCCTCACAGTCAGAGACCTGTATCTGAATCCCAGCTCTTCTGCTCACCAACCGTGGTGTGGTTTGAGGGGCAAGTTAATTAACCTCTCATGAACCTAATTTTCCCAGGTGCAAAATAAGAATAATGATATTTACTCTTACCTGAATGTGGTCAGCTCAGTAATTAAATATTTTAAGAACCTAGCACAGCGCCGGGCACATTTTTAGAAGATTACATTTTCTGGTTTATGTAGGACAATCTTTGTTAACACCTGTTGTTTTACTAGGCCAT